GGCCTCCAACCTAAGAGCGATGGCCTCCAACCGACTAGCGATGGCCTAGGAACCAAACGATATAAAAGCCATTAAAAGCCTAGGAGCCAAATGATTAGCGTGAGCTATCCTGCGTCCATATGTAGCAGCTACCTAGCTTCTACTAGCTACCTAGCCACTACCTCCAACCTCGCCTTACCCCCCTGGTCTTCAAGAAATAACATGGCGATGGCCTCCAAGCATCTCCAAGCTAGGTGTTTTGGATGTGAGTGCTGGCTTTGGATTGCTCTGCATCCCTTTGGCTCGCCGTGGATGCTCTGTGGCAGCTCTGGCCGCTGCTGAGGCCGGAGTAGCCACAACTTCGGATCAAAAAAATCCGCTCCACTTCCGCCGTCCGTCCGCCACGCGCCTCGATCCTGAAAAAGCCGCCGATCTCCGTGTTCGAACGCAGGTGGCCCGTGAGAACGGGCGCCGCAACGCGGCGCCGGTGCTGTGGCTCGACGCCGAGGACCGCGACCTCTTCGGTGGGGGTGACGGCACGGACGTGGTGACCGCGGTGGTGGCCGGCGCAGTGCCGCGGAGTGGATTGCAGGCGGAGGTCTGGGCCTTGCTGCAACAGGAGGTGCGGGTGGATACTGCCTTGAGCGAATGGCCTGGGAACCTCATTAGCAACAGGAACCGAATGGCGATGGCCTCCACCCGACCAACGAGCGAATGGCCTCCAACCTACTAGGGATGGCCTCCAACTTAATAGCGATGGCCCGATGGCCTTCAACCTACTAGCGATGGCCTCCACCTAATAGCGCTAATAGCAATGGCCTCCAACTATATCTGGGTGGATGAGAGGAGATACCTGGTGGCTGTGGCAGGTCCAAGACTTCTTCTACATCTCGTCCTACCCCGGCAGCCAGGCCTCAACACGAAGACTTCTCGTGGTGGCGGAGTGAAGGGGTTAGGTCCTGGTCCTCGGAGGTCTCCTCGGTCGCGGGCTTCGTGACGGTTATGGTGGAATGTGGTGCCTAAAGAAGAGGTGTCAGGTGGAGACCGTGTCAGGGTCGGATGATGAAGCATTCCGTTTTTTTCCTAGGAGAGGCGATACCCACCAGCTGCATACCCATTCAGATGCTCATTTTTGCGGGGCGTTTGCCTGCAGGTGGATTGGCCAAAGCTTGCGGACATGGGCTATGAACTGAAGGTGTTGGAGGTGGCTGATCCAATGCCAGGCCTCAAGAAAACGCCGCTTTGTAGAAAGCTCTGGCCAAACAGGAGGTATAGGTACTGTGTGTAAGGCCAGAAAAAGCTTTGTTTGGGTACCCCAGCCTTCGAAGACCATTTAAAAGGGTTGCCCTGGCTTTCTATAAGTTGTAAAATCCTTAGTAAACAACGGTTGTTCGGTAAGGACCATTGTAACAACGGTGGATCCTAGGTGCCCACCCCAAGTGTGCCGGACGCACAAGGACAGCAACAGCAGAAAAAGCTAACTGGAGAAAGCATCAGCCCCAAGGGCAGCAGGTCTTTGCAAACTGCCAAGAACATGGGAATCCCGTTCAGTGTGTCACCACCGGTTGACCACTATAGGAAGAACCACCCACTCACCATGGGGAGAACCAGTCTGAACTCACGGAGAAAAGGTCTCACTCACCCCGTGCTGCGCATCCGAAGAGGCACCCAACACGTGGAGATCCGGGCGCACTTCACGCGCGTAGCAGCGCGCGTAGCAGCGCGCGTGCCGGGGGTTCCCGGCGGCGCGCTGCGGAGGGGCGTAGCCGGGCGGTCGACCTGTGCCAAGAAGCTTGGGCGAGCTGAAGGGGAGGCGACACGTCGCGAAGTAGTTGGTGGGTGTACCGACCAATGGACCCGCGGAGCTACCAAGTCCCCCTGACAGCTGGTCCATTGGTCCATTTGGGAAGAAAAAAGGAAGCGCTGGCGGCTTGTTTCTTTCAACTCGTTGTTCTTTCCCCAACCTTGAACTGCCACCGCGTGCCAGTTCCCCTTTCTTTCCAGGTATACTTGGGAGAATGAATGAATTCTGTCAAAGGCTCCGATTCAGGCTCAGACCCGACCCGACCGAGGACGGAGTGGCTCTGTGGTCGCTGCGAGAATTTGGTCTTCCGCCGGCACCGGCACCTCTGCCCCCGCTGCGGCGCGCTGCGGGAGGCCGGAGCTGAGGCCCGGCTGCGGCGCAAGGCGCGGCGTGTGGAGCGGGCGGTTTGGGGGGTTGGGTGGGGTGCCTTGGTTTGTCGGGAAGAGAGGATGGAATGGATGGTGGAGTCGCATCTGGAATGGATATTTGAATGATTTCATGACACGTTCACTTGCCCTTTCATAGCCTCTTTGTTGTTTCGTATTGTTTTCATTCTTGAGAAGAATGACGCACCTCACTGGCAGTGGCTGTGCCACAGCGGCAGGTGGAGATATCCACGGTCATCAAAGCCTTGCAGAGAGATGCCGACGTGAGGGAAGACTGGCTGGCACACTGCAAGGCATCAGATGCATCCAAGGACGTCCCGTCGTTTCATCCGGTGTCCCATGTGGAAACCGGATGAAACTCGATGAAACCGGGTATTTTCACATGTCTTCTTCTTGGAAGCTGTCTTGAAAGGGGGGTGGATTGGGATTCGCACCGTGTTCAACATAGGTTCTTCAATCTTGGTCCAATCTTTGAGCCCCTATGTCTTCACTAAGCTTGGAACATGACCATTTTTGTCCCTCTCCCGATCTCTGCGGATCAGGATCCCATGAAGCACCTACACGAATCCAATGTGCAGTTCCTGCAGCAATGGCTGTCACATCCTGGGCTCCAAGCCTATCAAAGCCTTCTTCACCAGCATGGGCTGCTGCTTCCCTCTTCCTCGCCCACCATGGACACCTCCGGGTCGTCCCCCTCCGGGTCCCCTGCGGGGGTCACGTTGCCCGCCCTGCGCCCCGTGGCTGGACGTCGGTGGTGGTTCGGCCGGAAGGTCTGAGTTGGGAGGTTGAGAGACCAGGGTCCGAACACGACCCGTAAGGTCTGTTGGTATGTATGGGAGTGGGCGAGTCTTATGGGCTCTTCAACCTCTCTTGGTCTGAGTTTTTTCAGATTTTTGCCCATCAAAAGGCTATTGCCCAGAGACGCGACCCGGGCCTCGGCGCCCATTCGGCCCCGAAATCCGAGGGTTCGGAGCTGAATCGGAGGGGTCTGGGTCGAAGCATGCCCCAGGTTTTGGGTTTTGAGGGACCAAGCTAGGGTTGTTTGGAGCGTCTGGGTGTAATCTAAAAATTGGAATAAAACAAGATGATGAGTGACAGGTCCAGTTCTGTCAACAAGATGTTGCCTCTGCTGTAACAATCGGGGATAGAAACTGCAGGAGAGTCGCCTTGCTCCGACACTTGGTTCAGGTGTTTCGCCTTGCACCCGACCTTTCCAAGAAGAGAAGGGAACACGGAAGAGGATGTGACCCGCTCTTCTTCACAAGCCCAGCTCCCAACTGGCTTACGGAGCATTTTCCCAGAAACAGGGGTGCTTGGTGAGTTCGGGCTTTCACGTGCGACTCACCTTCCCAACGAGGTTGTGAATGAACCTCGCCCGAAATGAATGGCACCACCATTCATCCGTGCTATTCAGCGCTTGATGCGATCCATTGCGAGCCTCAAGCCAACCTCCACCACAACCTTTCCCCAACTCTTTCGCGACGAAAAACGGCCCTCATCCCGTCCCCGCCTCCTTGCCTCACCCACCGGAATGCCAACACCGAGTTCGCGCTCTGCCTTCCGGAACCAACGCCCCGGAACACCACACCCCGGGACGACGCGTTTCACGCCGCGTCGCCGGGCGCCGCCCCCGAGGCCTGGGCCGTGCATGGCCTCGACGGCTGCTGCTGCTGTGGGCGGAGCGGGTCGCCACGGCGATCCCCTGGGCCCAGGAGCTGCTGGAGAGCGTGGCCGGCAGCGGAAGCGATGCCTGCGGTGCCTGCGATGCCTGCGGTGCCTGGGTCGCCGTTTTTGGGCAGAAGAGCACGGTAGTTCAAAGACATGGGGAAGATCCTTGAGCAAAGCACGGTAGTGCAGGTTTGTTTTTTTAAGTGAAGATCTTTGAGCAAAACTCAGGCAACACCATGTAAAACCATTGGTTGATTGGTTGGTTGCGACCCAAACAATCGACCGGCTGCGTTCCGGGTTAAGCGGGACGCCGCTGTCCAGCCATTAGTTGCGGACCTGCGGGCGATCTTGGTGATAGTTTGAACGATGGCGACTTGAAAACCACTTTCGCGGTTTTTCTCGGTTGAAAGATGTTTTTGTTAACTCTCTGGAGATGGAGTTCCATGTTGCGCCAGTGGATCTCGTCCTGGAACCCCGCGAGCGTCTCCAGCAGAAACAGTTTTGGTTGGAAGCCCCAAACAAATGCGCCGCGAACGTCTCAAGCTCCTTTTTGGGAGAACATCCACTATGGCGCCGCAATTGAGATTTCTTTACATCAACTATTTCGGTGGCTGGGCCGGGGGGAACCATCCCGTGGAAAAATGATTGGATCTCAAGCTGGCACTTTTTGTTGGAACAACCGTTGTTGAACAACCAGCTTGTTTGTTTTTTGTTGAGACTGGGTGTCCAGGTACTTGGCCATACTTTCCTTTCTTTTCTCGGAAGAACAGGAATGGGGAAAAGGGAACGAGACAGCTTCAAACCATGGATTGTTATGACAAAAGGAACATAAGGAACGGAACAGGGGGCATCCAGGGAGCGTTTCTTGGCTTTTCAACGAAGCACACTTGATTCCGCAGACCTTTTCTTCCACCCTCGCTGTGGAAGTTCCCACAGCGGTGTGCTGATCTTAACCTTTTGGGGACGATCGCGGGGTGTCCACCACAGATCTGAAAAAGGCCCCGTCTTCCGAGCATCTTCTGTTTGCTTCATTTCTTCGGTGGCAAGTGATACGACCTAGCACTTCCTGTCTGGGTGCCCTCCCTGTCTCAAGCAGACCTTGAGGGGGTTGTCCAGCCAGGTGACCCGTTTCACGGAAGCAGAACTGCTGGGGACCGTTGACCAGCTACTGCGTCGCGTCGCTTGCGAGGCTTGCGGCGGTTGTGGGTCAGCCACTCAACGCTGCGGCCCAGTGGTGCTTCGGATTGGCGAGAATCTGCCTGGACGGTTTCCCCGCTTTCTCAACCAGAAACAGTGATGATGGATGGAACTTCCCCAGTCACAGCCACCATAAAACAGAATCTCAATGCTGGTGCCATATTGGCACAACCAGAACGTTTCTGGTAGAGCTTGGGGTTTCCAGGTGGGCGGATCCTAGCGTGGTAAGGCACTGATTCCCATCCTTTCGCCAGCGGGGAATCTCACTCGAGCTCTTGTTGTTTCAACGTTGCCACTGGTGTCCATCGATCCAGCTTGTTCCTAGGTCCTTGGGATTGGCTGGACGTGACGCAGACGCAAGAGCTCTTGGGATCCGAGCGAGACATCTGCGTCTTGGTGTCTGAGCCCAATCCGTGGACCGCGTGGACCGCGCGCAGGACGCCGTGCCCGACGGACCCGCGTGGAACACGTGGCGCGTAGAACGAGAGTGACGCATGGCTCGAGGGAGCGTTGAAAACACATGGCGCGCATGACTCATGACGGTTAACAGTGGTGGATTCAGAGCCCTCTAAACCATGGCCCTTCGTCCCCGAACACGGACCCCACCGCCGTTGTCCCTGGTGCGGTGGGGCTTGGCTTGGTGCGCGCCTTCGGAACCAGGTTTGCTCGCCTCACCTTCACGCCGATGCCTTCGGGGTCTTGTCTGGCTTGCTGCTGGGCGGTGGCTTGTTGGTGCTGGTGGCTGAGACCGGGCGCGCCAGGTGCGGCAGGGGGCTGGGAGCATCGGGAGCGGAGCGGAGCAGTTCAGACGGCTGGACCATCCTGGACTTGGGAGTGTCCTGTTTGATTTCGGATAGCAGTGTAGGTATAGCTCAGAGGAGTTGAGAATTACACGCGTCCAAGCGAGGTTTTTTATGGCTGTAGCTGATGGCTGTTGCGCCTTGAAGGGCTTGTTGCGCCTTGGTTGTTACAAGTTTGGGGTTGCGCCACTTGTCTATCCTTGCGAGTCTTTGAAAGATGAGGGGCTTTGTGTTGCACGTTCGAAGACATTCTCTTCGCAGGCCTGCATCGCAGAACCCTCGGTCTAAATGCCCGATGTTGAGCAGTTTCACAGAGCATCTGAGGGACTCCGAAAAAGCAAAGAAAAGGCACAGTTTCACGGCGTTTCGACCAGCGCTCAGCGCGAGGTCTCCTTTTCAGAGCTCGCCCTTCGACCGACGTTTCTGGCACTTCTTGCAGCGCTGCCCCCACGCGCGCCTCGCGTACGGCAGCCCCTGTCTCGAGCACGTGGGCGAGGAGCACGAGAACGGCGCGGCCGCGCACGCGGCGACGGCGGCGGAGGCCGAGGAGGCCGAGGAGGCCGAGATGAAGACGGTGGGGCTGTGCAAGACGGTGGAGCAGAAAGCAGCACTGGAGGAGAGGAGTTGGCCACCTTTTCGACGTGACGTTTGTGGTGGGACGCTGGAAAGGACATGGTTGGGGTTCAGACGTACCGGGGGGGCCGTGTACGGTTGGCATCACCTGTTAGGATCCATTCGGACCCCCTCTGAACGAGCTTCTGCCAGTCTCCAAGAGGACATGCTGGCAAAACATGCCAAAACCAGCATGGTGTGAGGTGTCCCAATATGTCCTATTAATCATTATTAATCCTTTTGAAAAGGGCACGAAATGCAGCAGCAGAAGCGATACAACCTAAAATAGAACCAGACTATCAATCTTCCATCTTCACCAATCTTCATCATTTTGAGGGATGGAACACGCGAGGTGAAAGACCAATTGATTCTTTGTGGTTGCTTTTTTCCACCGAATGACAGGGTCGTCTTCAGGCCTTGTTGAACCATGTCCAGACGACCCGTGGCAGCGCCGTGGCACTCTTGGCACCACGGGGGCGTGGCAAAAGTAGCTTGCTCGGGCTGCTGGCAGCAGCACTCAAAGAGGACGTGCTGGTTCCTGGGACATTCTGAATGTGGTGGGTGGGTAGGTGGGTGGGTGGGTGGGCGGGTGGGTGGGTGCTTGAATGGTTTGTTCAAAGGGTTGTTCCACTCGGGTCGTGGTGTTTTGGAGTGAAGATTTCACCCTCGGACTCTCCAAGGGGAGGGTGCTTTGGGCCCGGATGCTCTTCGCTCATTCTTTCGGATCAAACAAGAAACCCTCTTCCATCAGGCATCGCGTGTTCAATCACCTAGGCAAGTGCAAACTGGACATGACAAGTTTTACATGAAACATCTCCAGTTTGCACTTGCCCAGGTTATGGAAGACTTGGGTACGTGAGCTGTCACGTTCGCTCACGAGCTGTCCATGCTTTGGACGAGCTGTCCACTCGTCGACCACCGAGTGATCGACGGATGGGGAGGACACCTCCCCTCGAGTCGTGTGCTGTTCATGAGCCTTTTTCGGGGATCCCACACAGAAACAGAAAGTCCAAGAAACCTTGGTTCCATGATGTTCCATGTAGGTTGAGTGGTTGAGGCGCTTCATGGTCTTTGTCAGCAAAGCAGCCAAGACCCCGGTGTCACGTATACAGGTTAGAGGCTTTTAGTTGAGTGCAACACCTGAATGTTCAGACCCCAAATACGTTCGTTTACCATGTTCTGAATGCATCTGGGGGAAGCTTCTAAACGGCAAGGGTCAGGGCTTTTGGCCCAGCATCCGTTTCGGGCTTGGTCGATGCGGCGCCTGCGTGTTGCGTTGGTAAGGTTTTTTTTGGTCCGCTGCGGTGGCGACACACCGCACCGCGCTCAGTGAGGTAGTAGCTCCGACAGTGAGCTCGGTGGTGGAAGTCTTTCAACGCGCAAAGAAGGCACTGGCCACACGGGCACAGGTGCTGGAGCATCATGCAGGCGCCGAGGATTGGTGTCTGGAGGTCATGGAGAGCGGCGCCTGGGCGATGAAATGGAAGACACACAGCGGAAATGGAAATCATCAGCGTGGAACAGTGAACGCCCCAGCTGTCGTTTTCTCTTTTATGCGGATTTCAGAAGGTCGTTTTCTTTTGGGGGTGGCCATTTGCCACTTGCATGATTCCATTCGGTTTGGACCTTCCAGCAGCTCCTCCAAGCCACATCAAATCTAACTGTTCGGTCGGTGGATTTCGCTCAGGTTCCACTTGGCGGATCTCGCTCCACATCGGACTGCCCGAGCTCTCCGCGACGACGCTGCTGCTCGACGAGGCCGCGCGCTTTCCGCCCGCGGCGCTCCAGGCCGTGCTGATGGCCGCGGCGGACCGGGCGGCGCGGTGCGTGGTGGCCAGCACCGTGCATGGCTATGAGGGCACCGGAAGCGGGTTGATGAGGCTGGTGGAGCAGTTGCAATTGGAGGCCAGGCTCTTCGGGGGGGTGGGAGAAGATAGATAGACCTAGAACCCCATTTGACCTCTGTTTTGATAGGAAGTTTGACCTGATTTTGGGTGGTTGGTGTTCCAAAATAGAGGTCAGATTCAGGTTCTAGGGATCTTGATCTTCATTCAAGTTCTGGAAGGCGGTTTTGTGATTTCGTTTCGATCTGGTTTAGTTGGTCCAACTTCCTGACAATTGTAGCAGGATGGCTCCACAAATCAGATTGCAGACTTCAAGCACGGCAGTCAATGAAGCTCCGAGACCTGACACAAGCATTAAATGAAGGCGTTTCAAAGGCATTGAATTCAAGAGCCCAGACGCGACCATGGACCCTCCGTTCCGTAGGGGTCCGGACCCGAAGCAATCCCTAGGGCTTTGAGGGATCAAGAGCTGTGAACGGAGCGGGGAGATGTCTTTCCGTCACATGGGGGATGAGGTCGTGAGGATCTTCACACCTTCGCCCGACCACATCTTTCACCACCGAATGGATCCCGGGCGCGGTTGCTTCGGGCGCCCGAAGCTGGGCATGTCTGAATATGCTGGCGAAATGGCTGAGGAGGAATGTGCACTGCTCATTTTGTCCAGCGATTTTTTCCTATCTTGGAAGGATGCTGAACAAATCCACCATTTCGTACGCCGTGCCCAAATCGTGCACCCCCGGTGCCAGTACACGACCCCCCCTTTTCTCAGCTGCTTTGCAGTGTCAGATCGCATCAATGGGCGACGCGAAGATGGCACCGTCGACGCAGGGGAAACGACGCGCCATACACCATCTGGGTTTCCCCCCGTCTCAACCGGAAACAGTTCTGGTTGTTCCAATATAGCGCCAGCTTGAAATACTTTGCATTGAAAATGGCTGGGACTGGGAAACACATCCCAAAACCGTTGGGGCCCGACACGTCCGCCCCCATCACATCAGCGCCATGGACGACGGAGCGGAGCTCTTGGCGCGTGCGCTCGAGGCTCTGCGCTCGAGCTCTGCGACCGCAGACGTGGATGTTTGCCTTGATCCCACCCAGTGATCTGTCGCATGGATTCGCATCAGCCGTCACTGCAGCCCACAGCGTGTGTCACACGTGTTTTCGTTTAGTAGTACCGCACATCGCCGCCGCTGGTTCCAGCGTTGCGAGCAGCGCTGGGTGTCTCGGGGCAGAAGACACATCACCAGTGTCAACCCAATATGATGCGGCATCACCAGCAAGCAGCACGACGCTCTCTTGTGACACCTACGGTCACCTACCCAACATGTTTCTCGGAGGTAACCTCAATGAGCAGAGACAACGTCCTCTGATTCTACTTCTGCAGCTTGGTTGGTTGCATGTTAGTAGAACAGCGTCGTCAAACCATTTTTTGCGACTTCCAGAAAAGAAGGACGGTCAACAAAAACCGTTTGCAACTTCCGCATAGGATGAGACCTTAAGCGATGAGATGGTCATTGGAGTTGGCTTCTTATCCGGAAGTCCAAGACCATTTTCCAAAATCAGTTGGTTCTATAGTATGTTTTAGTGCAACTTCCTTAAGACAGCTCGGTTCTTCGGGTTTCAGGCGACTTCCTGCGACTTGGTGGGTCCCGTTCGAGCAGACACGGAAAGCGGCGCGCTCGCAGCTGTCAGGTGGTGCGGCTGCGGCAGCCGATCCGGTGGCCTCCGGAGGATCCACTGGAAGGCGCAGTGGGGACGGCTGATTCGGAGGTTCAGAGGTCACACACCTGGAGGGTTGGAGGGTCACGTGGTCACGTGCGCGGGTTGGAGGTGTTGTCTTTTCTTGGGGGGAAGGTGAGTAAAAAGGAGGAACTCTTTGACAGGACACTCGTGGTAGAGCCCTCTACGTGAGTATAAGGAACGGGAAGGTGTTCGTACATCGAAATCTCAGGTGGTATTTTTGGAGAACACATGATGTGTGCGGGCTGTGCTACATATTGGTCGTCGGAGATCTTAACCAGGTAGGAGTCGTCCTCCAAAGGTGCTATAGGTTCGTTGCAGTGTCAAAGTGTTCACCCCCTCCACGTTGAAGTTCGACGCGGACGCTTCCTGTTCGCGTGACACCTCGAGAAGATGTGGCACATGCCTTGCGACCGAAGCCGAGCGAGAACAAAAAGGTTTAGTAGGCCCATCCACCCCAATGTCCTCCAAGGCTCGGCACCCAAATCACCGGTCGCCCCATCTGGATACCCCAATCGCCGGCCCCCTTCGAACAACCGGGTGTTTGTAGTGGACAAACAGCTAGGTTCTTCGGGATGACCGCCTATGTTTAACGAACTCTAGGTCAGGTGAACAGACCGAAAAAAATGAAGTACTGGAAACTGGTCATACCAAAAACACAGGTTTTCATGGAGTTTTTCATGACCAATGAAGAACCATTGTCTTTTTTACATGGTGTTTGCTCACAATTTGACAGTGCAAATACCAGATCGTTCTCATGTACTCGTCCTGAAAGGCTATACAAAACAACACGGCCGGCCTTCACCCTGCCCGCGGTTGGACTCCCGGCCAGTCCGTGCGTTGACGTCCCAAACGCACGCGCGCGGCCGCGCGCGGTCCGCGGCGGAAGGCCTGGCCTCGAAGACGTTGCAACTCGATCCGGAACCGCTCCCAGTCGATCGGACGCTCTACGAGGGACTACGAGCTGAGGACGGGACGAGACCTGCGGCTGGCGACGGATGTTTGGCTGATTGCCTTGCGTGGACTTGCATGGCGTCGTCCGCAAGCAAGTGCTTTTATAGTCCCTAGAAGTCCAAAGACTATTTTCAGCACCACCCAGGAAGTTCCTTTTCGGATCACCTAAAGACCGTTTTAAAAATGGTCTTGGGCTGCCAGGGTAGTCATAGTCATAATATCATAGTGGTTGTTTTCGTGCATGTGTTTCTTCTTGATGTTTCTATTGGTGGGGTGGAAGGGGTGAGCTGCGATTGTTTGTTGACACCTCCCAGAGACACGTCCATCCAGTGGGGCAAGCAGAGCTGGGTTCGTGCAGGGTTGGACTCTCTTTGCAGACCATGTTTTGAACAACAGATGCAGCACATGTTTCGAACATCTAGTAGCGATGCCCTTGTTACTATAGTAGCTTCTATAGAGTGTAGTAATGCCCGGGCGTTACTAGCGATGCACCACCTGTTACTATAGAGGCCATGTCACTGAAGGGTTTGTCCAAGAAGTCCCACCTGAATCGGTTCGCTGTGAGTCTAAATCTTCTGCCTGAACCGTGAGGTAGGTGAGGTAGGTGACCTGGCAAGGACAAGCTCATTTTCCAGGTCAGGAACAGGCCGAAAAATGAAATACTGGAGGTATAGTCATGCAAAAAGACTATAGTAAAACATGTAAAACGATGCTCCTCAGGACGCTGGGTGAGACGGTTTGGGGTGGTTGGCCACAGACGGTCCTGGGTGGGGTCGTCCCGACCAACAGGAGCTCTCGGTGGAGCGCGTGCGACGCCCGGTTCTCCTCCAGAACGAAGAGATCCTTCGCGCCACTGAGCTACGAACGGGGGGAGCGGCGGGTGCATTCCAGTGGTGGTTGCATATGACACAAAGGTTCTGTGTGCAAAGCTCTTTAAGGTCTTGGACAAGACTTATTAGGTTTGTCTTGCTGGCATGCCTCGAATCAAGATAAATCCGTGCTGGCTGGGATGATAGGCCGGTGTTTCTGGTGGTCTATGAAATTCTGAACTATGGTATATTTCGCAACACCCTAGGGATCCAGTCGTACCTTCTCATGAAGGCGCCTTGAGGGTCCGGTCGTACCGAACCTGAGGTTCGGTACGACTGGATCCCAAACGGGACAGTATGTCAACGTGAAAGATCGGCGCTGGAGGAAGATGACGACTCTTTGGCTTCTCCACGACGTTGGCGTGGGGAAAGACTTGCATTGAACACGGTCGGCGGACATCTGCAGTGGAAGCGGCGGTTCTTGAGACTCCCCGCATTGATCGACCGCGAACTTCAGGGACTTGACAACAAAGGTTTCTACCCCGCCTGGTAGTCATAATTCCACTACCATCTACGGTAAAACTGAATCTGTAGAATCAAACAGTGGTTATCTGGAACTGTTCTATCTGCCTCTCCTTCAGCTGCTTTCTCTTCAGGAAGTCTATGGGCTGCTGTCCATCGCCCACTACCGCACGGGCCCGGGGGATTTGCGCATGCTCCTGGACGAGACCCGCCTCGAGGCCCGGAGGAACCCAAGGCGTAGAGGTGGGAATTTGGGACGAGGCGTGGGGGTCTTTGGCCAAATTTGGACGAAGGACCAAGAGAGGTTATATGTGACTTTATAGGACCCTACTGGGGTACGTATGGGATAGTCTATAGGGTCCTTCAACCTCTGTTGGTAGCTAGCTTCTTGCTACGTCCGTAGTAATGCCCTTGTTACGTTCGTAGCGATGCACTCGTTACTACTAGCTTTTAGCTTCGTTCATAGCAATGCCAGGAGCTATACTAGTAGCGATGCACTTGTTACTAGCTTCTTGCCTTTTTCTTTCTTTTTTTTTCGGAATTGACCCCTTTATACGACCTAGAGGTCCTTCAGGTGTTCTTTTTGGGGGGGAGGATCTTGTTTTCTCCTTTTCACGAGATTGCAACCATTGCAAGCATGACCTCTGGCCAAAGCCCACTTACCTCGACGGAAGCACTTCACGCATGGCTACCATGGATACATCAAAAGGCCAGCACGCTGGACATGCTACCCTTGTAGCTGGCCCCCCTAAAACATGAGCCAGCTGGTTATCAATTCTTTTCTGTGGATCCATGTTATTCGCATTCGACAAAACTACACAGCGTGATAGAACATATGGCTCAAAAGCCTGGTGTTCTTCTGAACACCCAATTCGGCTTGCAAGACAGTCTTTATTTGGATGGTCTCCCACGAATTCTAACCTTTAGTATTCCGCGGTGTTAAGTGTCAATCTCTAGTTTCTGGCGCAGGTCACATAGTGACTAGTGCGATATGACATGTTCCTCGTTGCCACCGTCCCTTCCACCCGTGCTCATCGCGGTGGCAACGCCAGGTCTTTGGCCTGTGGAACCGACGGCGGGGCGTGACCGTGACGGTGGGAACTGGTCTGTGCGCCTGCGCGTTGCTGGTGCATGAGCAACGAGGGAACTTGAAGCGCCATGACCTTCTGGCAGAGTCACTGAAGGCGGGGGAAATTTGAAAGAAAACAAAGCCGCTTTTGGGAGGCACAAGAAGGAAGAATCGGGGATGGGGAGGGTGATGGTTCTTGGAATGATGTGATGGATTCTTTTTTCCAGTCTTGTTCCAAGCGAATGATGATTCGGGTGGGAAGAACATCAGAAAACATTGGCGACGACCGAGAGGGACACAACATGTTTCACCTATAGATGCCGAACATGTGCTCGGAGTGCTCGTCGTTCGATGCACCCGTTTTTGGGATTTCAGATGACACCAAAGACGTCTCTCCGCGCCTTTCTGGTATACCTTTTTCCCTTGTTGGATTGGGTATGCCGTATACATCGTAACACCTTAGGATTCCCACCACCATTGTGTTGAATAGCCTGAATCCGTTGGTTTTACGGATTTGACACGTCACCAGGTCACCAGGATTCGAGCTCGTCCGGAACACTCGCGTCGCGTCGCACACACCCCGCGCGGCGTCGCGTGGCTCCAGGAGTCCTTGGGGTGTCCGGGCCTGGAAGAGAGTGAGCCAAAGACGGAAGAGCCCTTGAGATGTGTGAGAGTCGCCCTTTGGCGGGTCGCGACGGACGAACGAGTCGCCCGTTGGGACGAACGACAGACGGCGGTTTGGATCGAAGGGCTTGAAGTTCCTGAAGTCTGAAGTCTGAGCAAACTGGGAGATGTGAATCAATTTGACATGGTTTGAGACGACATGGTACCGACCTTTCCAACCAAAGGGTGAGACCACGGCGTTCCCGTCGTTCACCACGGCGGTTCGGACCTTGAGGTGCGTGTGGCGGTGCATCCGGAGCTCCAAGGTCGAGGCTTGGGGCGGCAACTGGTCAAGGAGCTCAGTGCCACCCTCCAAGCACGAGGTGTGCCATGGGCCGGACCCGCCGCAAAGAGGGACCACCGACCAAAACGGGGCACGGGCGGACTGGCCGGAACTTCCGCACTACACGAAGACGCTTTTTGATGGTTTTTTCAATGGTCTTTACCAGACAACCATTGTTCTACTGTTCTACTAAGGCTTACTAAGGATTTTACAACTACAAAACCAAGTCATTCCCATGTTCTAAATTTTCTTTGAAGGCTTTTCAGCTTGAGGGGTATGCCGGTATGCCCTAGAAGTCCAGTGAAAGACGAAATGGGCACCACCGAAGTGGTGACATTCCGAACTGTTTGGTCCTGGCCTCGTCTTGGCCTCGCAGGGTACACATACCTATAAGATCTTCCAACTATGCAACATTCTGCCTGTTCATCGATTAAAACCAGCCCCCAAAAAGAAACAGATCTGTTGCACCGTTCGGAATTTTCTAGGTCTGTGTCTGAGAGGTAGTAGGTCTTCTAGTAGGTAGTATGATGATGTCTGTTGCAGGGCGATCTATACAAATCGGACATGTTCCTCCCAACACCATTCTTTTCTGCACACGGATTTCGCACCGCACACCCAGTGAACGACACGTCGTCCCCGCGGTGGAGGACGCCGTTCATCCACGGTCCGAGTCGAGAGCTATACGAAAGAGCTGGTGGTCTGTTGGTGAGTCGATGAACATGAGCAAGTGCCAATCACCATGGTGGTCGAGAATGGTGGTCTTCTTTTCAAGACACCCTGCAAAAATGTCTTTTCCATCCAATGTTCGTCATCCTGGTGGTGTTCTTTTGATGTTTGATTTGAGGTTGGGTTAGGCCTTGAGGACTGGAAGGGTCTTGGGTTGGAGGTAGAAACGAAGCTATGCTGAGGCTTGCTACGAAGCATGCAATACTTATGGCAAGGATGCAGTAGAGTGGGAGCGATTGTTCTTCAAAAACGGGCAGGAGAAGTTGGGCACGAGAATGTTCCTTTGAAGAACACTCACTGCATGAGGGAGGGTTCCTAGATGTCTAGGGAAACTATAGTGAGAAGTGCAGATTCATTCAATCTTCATGTTCTCGCTATAGGTTGACCTGCATTCCCTTCACTTCGTGAAACTGATCGATCGCCCTGTCCAGCATGTCCAGCCCAGCACACCTCGTTTCGCACCTCGTTTCGTGCATCCATCTCCCTCCGGGGCCACGCGGGATTCCCCTTTCCAGGCTCGGTGGATCTGCTGGGCGTCGTCTTCCGCGGCCCCGCGCCGCGCCTGTGGCGCTTCTGGCGCGACGCCTGCGGCTGGAGCGCCCGCGCGGCGCCCGCGCAGAAGCTGTCGCTGTTCCTGCGGGCGGTGTCGGCGCGGGCAGAGCAGTGGATGGAAACGGCGAAGATGGAAGCAGGATGAAGCGGATATCGACTTACTTCATGGATGGTGAGAGAAGAGGATCCTTGGGAACAGATGAAGACGTTCAGGAGTTGGACTGCAGAGTTGGAGACCTTTGATGGCAGAGTTGGAGATGTTGGAGAACCTCGCATCCCTTTTTTCTTGTTGGACAAGCGGAGAAAAAGGGGTTAAAACCCATCCAAAACTGTCACCTTCAACGAGGTCTCCTCTGGTGGCTTTTGTAGACTTCAAAGTGTCAGGTGGTGACCTGTAGAGTCGTCGGGTGCTGTTTGATTTGCCATGCAGAGAGACGAGTGTTTTGCGGTGTGAACACCAAGCCGAAAGAACTCTTAGTGGCCACGGCACCGAATTCCGGGTGGAACATACCTACATTGAACCCCCAAAACCACGTATGGCATCCCATGGAGTGTCTGGGATTGAGAACACCAAGCTTGAACAAACATATCCTCAAAAAACACCCTCTCGCTGGAAAAGAGGGCTGAAATCAGCTCTTTGCCTTTGCTGGACGTTTGAGAAGAACGGACACCCCAACATTTGGGCCCCAACCCTGAAGACCATTTTGGAGGTGTCACTTCGGACCTGAACAACATGTAAAAATCCACCAGTTCAGGTAGCACCATCATCCCTTTTTGAGCCTGATGGCAGGGACCGATTTGGCCGCGTGACCCGAATTTCGGTGCAGGGCCACGGATCGCTCGTGGGTCTCCACGCGCGTGGTCCGTGCCACGCCTCCCGTCCGAGGAAGGATCGGCCCCCCGACGTCGCGGTGGCGCCTGAGCTGCGAGCTGGAGCACGGAGGGTGGTCTTCGAGGTCCGGAACGCGCGGACGACGCGCGCGAGGCGAGCCTGGACAGCCCACTGGACGACGTGAATTCAGCCCACATGGCCGGGCTTTTTTGACCCCTCCCAAGAAGCCACATTCGCGAACGTGATACGATCGCAGTTTCTGGCCACCGAACAAACGATCCGTTTTAATGGGTTCGTTGCTTTGGCGAGCCGCCACGAGCGATGTGTGTGTGAAGTGTCCTGGAACCTTTCAAGGAGCGATTCTCGGCAGTTTGGGTGACACACCATCCCAAACCTCAGGCTTCACCTCACGGCACTAAATGACTGGCATCAAGCCTGCCCAAGGGTGAGGTCACTGGTCTCCAAACCACAGGATGCTCATCGGACTTCAAACATAAGTCTGTTTGTCTCTCTACAATCCAAAACCACCTGAGAACGTCGGAAACCATTCAGCAGGACTTGATGAAGATCATTGCTTGAAATTTCAATGCAATGGCCCTCTCCAGACCACCCGTCGGCAAGTGCGTTGCTTCGAGCTCGGGGTGTCTCCGAACGAAAGGGTTCGAGCTCAAGCCGGCTTTTTGGGGTGCTGCTCGAAAAGCCGGTGATGGGGTGCTCTTCAGAGGGCAGTCCAGCCAGGACACCCAGTGGCAGGATGGTATACCAGTATGGTTTTCATGCTTGTTTCAACATTCATTGAGGAGGATGAATCCCACTGCCAGGCATGTTCACAAATCGTTCAATCGAACGCACCCACAAGGGCACAGCACCCGACCTCATCGAACCCTCCCCGACACGCTGGTCGAAGCGGCGGAGTTCCATGGAGCCCTCGCATCCCTTGCGGCCTCTGCCAGGGGCGTCCCTCGTCCTGCGCTTCGCGATGTCCAGGACGAGACACTGGAGGATGTCGCCAGGTGAGATGAGAGATGAGAGTGGGCAAAGACAGATGAAAAACCCAGTTGATCCCTGTGACGGCTTTAGGGGGCCTCCTGCATGGCGGACCTTGGCCAAGTCGCTTCAATGGAGTTGTGGAGTTGACTCCAAGCTCTCAACTCTGGAGCTACACAACTTGTGGAGTGGAACACTTCGTGGAAGTTGACACGATGCACGTAACGTCAAAGAAGGTCAAGTAATTACTTACTGGCCTTTGGTACATAACGTACCTTACTGGCTTTAACCTCCTTAGTCTGAGTATTCTTGCACTTTGCCCAGACACGACCCATGGGACTGGCATATGACCCGGGGGTGGTTGCAGGGATCCATTCTACGCATCGCCATGGTTTCCTGGACTGGGAAAAGGTACGCGTTTTCACGCCCGGGTGACGCTTTGCCGTTGCCGCGAGACCAGACCTATCAACGAAGGTGCAGGGGTCGATGTAGCGGCCGAAGCGACGAACGTAGCATATGGCACGCTGGTTACGAACGTAGCGATGCCCAGAAGCTATGAACGTAGTGATGCACATTAGACACCTGTCGGAGGTCTTTCGCCGTACCCCACCCCGCCACCGAAAAATGCACACGAGAGGCAAAGCTGCTGATCTTGGTGAGTTCCGTGCCGGTCAGTGAGGTTTCTTGGCCGTTTGAACTGGGAGTGTTGGGCTTCCGGCCGCCCGTGGGCGATGCATTTGCTCAGTGGTTTGTTCTACCGAGCGGACCGTGTAGTAGGACATCACTGTACGGTTGGACCATCTAGGAGAAGCCTTCATGATTGGTTGCAGCTCCTTCTGCACGCTCCTCTTTCTAGCTGATTCCAGTGCTTGGATGGT